TGCCAGCTCCGAGATGGAAATGCAATGCAGAGCACCTTGCATTTATCTGGGGGGGAAATGACCTACTTATGGGCAACCACTAGTGAGTAGCTGATGTACAGCTTGTACATCTCATGTCTGTGCCTCCTCTATGCACTAAGGCAGAGGTTCTCATGCCATTCTCACACCCTACCTAGGGCCCATCCTGGTCCCCCGGGCTGAGATGGCTGTGCCCTTCCTTGCTACACATGCTGATTACCCCTACCACAGGCATGCAGCTGCCTCTCCGGATGGCTAGTCTTAAACCCCAGTGAGCATCACAAATTCTGATAGCAAATGTCTCTCTGCTTGTAGGATATTTCTGAAGCTGACAGGTCCTGCTGTGCCTCAGGGACACTGAGCGACACAAGGCTTAACCTCGCAGGTGAGCAGTCAAGCTGTTTTGAGTTTCTGCAACCAGAGTACTCCTTGCTTTCTATCAAGCTGCTGGGAAACTGATGCCAAAGGAAAGGACAAACTGAGAAGTATCACTCCAAGCCAACCAGATCACAGATCCTCAGGTGAGATGCTGTGTCCCCTCAGGTGAGCTCACTGCAGGGGCTGCCACAGGAAACAGAAGCACAGCATAACAGTTTGAGGATTTCCAAAACCAAAGAAAATGGACAAAGACAGAAAAATAAACTGAGAATATGGGGGTCTTGAGCTGTTCAGAAGCAGGTCACTGCTAATCCCATGTCATTAAAGAGACTCTGGACACAGGCAGGCCTGGTCTCTGACACCATTGTGGTAATACTGGTCCTCTGAGAACTGATGTATTTTACTCTAGAACCTTTATGCTCACCACAAAGTAACTGGACAAAATATATCCAGAAGTCAAGAGGAGCAGTTCCTTCTAGGTTTAAACTAATTCCCATTTCATCCAACAGGCTTCTACAGATATCTGTACCAGCACCAGAAAATGCTGGATACCTTCCCCTGGTCATGGGGCTGCAGAGGTGAAGACACCTCTACAATCACCACAGCCACACATTCACCTTCTCCAGACTTTACTGGCCAACTGTGTTCCCACAGTGGTGGCAACACAGCTCCCTGTGAAAGCCAAGAGTCCATCAGTTCAGGACAAGAGGCAGGTGGCAGTTGGAAGGTACACATTCCCAAAAACTTGGCTGGGAAACAGTATAGATGAGCATATCTCCCAGCAGGATTGCCTGGGAAAGTCTGCTGAATGCTCCTTTGAGACAGGTTAGGACAGGCAGCACATACTGATAAAGGCACCAGCTTTTAAATGGAGCCCAAACATCTCCAGGAGGAAGCTTCCTGGCTTGCAGAGAGAAAGGCTTCCCTTGGGTCACAGAGAGCAGCTAATCCTGAAGGCAGGCCCATGACACAGAGTGCTGTGGCTTTCAGAGGAGCAGAGACTCTAGAACAAGCAATGCCTCTGCTTAGGGAGAGCCAAGTTCCCTCCCCTCCCTCCTCTCACACCAAACTGTAGGCACATAACAACACTCCTAGCAGGAGTTTCACATGAGCAGGAGCACTGATACTAATAAGACCAGTGTTTGTTTCAGCAGAGAAGCAAGAATAACTTGTTCAGCGCTTCTGAAGAGCCATGCTGCAGGCTGGGCATGAGAAGAAAATCTCTGCTTTTGCAAAGGGTCCAGAAAGTTTCTCCCATTTTAGAATTCAGCATCAATTCAGGAGAGTGAAAAAAAAAAAAAAGTATTTTGTTTTAAAAGCATCTTCTTCCCAATCAAGTGCTGAACACAGCTATGGAAGTTTTGAATTTCTTGACAGTGCAGCTTTTGCACATGCTTGCTCCTTTGATGTAGCTGTTAGCACCAAAAGAAATTGAAAAAAAGGAAAATCTACCAGCCCAAGCAGGGGGAAGCTGCCTGGGGGGAAGCTGCAGTCCTATTTGTGCACTAAGAATGCACTCGCTCCTCTCAGAGCTTGAAGAATGCAGCCCAGTTTGGTTTTTTTTTTCCACTAGAATTTGAAAAGAATAAATCAAAGTAATTATAGCACTGCCCTTTCAGAATTGCTTTGCAAAGCTGAAATCAGAGCTTCAAAAGGCTTTTACTAGCAGCCAGCAAACCCAGAGAAGCAGAGATGCCTACTTCAAGCAGCTATACTAACCCCAAGACGTGCTTCATAAGCCACTTCCACAGGGAAAAACAGCCTGGGTTGAATTAAAGCAGCTTATAAAGTCTATATTTGTATCTCGCTTCCCACAACCCTTATTACCTACACATCTGCATGAAATCAGGATCAAGCCTTCCAAAAGGTTCCCTGGCCTCTGGTGCAGCCCCCCACACCTATATAACATTTATTGTCCAAGAACTCCAGAGCAGAGACAGACAGCTCATCACTCCTATACTACGGCGAAATAAAGTATGACCTTTTTAATAAAAGGCCAGCAGTGGAAGCAAGAGCTGAATCCAAGTACTTTACCTTTTGATGTAAAGGTTCAATGCACGGGGCAGCACTGCTGCCACCCAGGCAGGGCAGCACAGTGTGGTCAGATACATTTTGTTAGCGAGGCAACGACTGCTGTCTACTGATCCTGCTTTCGTGCAGAGGGAGGTAGGGTTCACAAACAAAGGCCTCTCTTCTGGCATCTAAAGAGAGATCTCTCTCAGTGAACCATGGACAGGGTGGATTAAAACATTCAGGTTTAAAAGAGTATTTCTTTGAAGGTGACAGTTGTGTTAACTTTAAAATGCTCTACCTAGGAATTGTTCAAATTAGATTTAAAAAGCAATTAGGTAGTTCATGTTTGCTGCATAAGCTTTAAAGAGCAGACAACAGCACTGGTGACAGTCACTGGCTGAGTGCATGGCACTGATTTAAGTAATTAAGTGAATCGGAAACCATGATTTCCTCCTTCAATCAACCAACAGAGTTCTGAGAGGAGAGCTGAGAGTTACAGAAGACACACTATCCAGAAATAGCTATATTCAGCAACTATAATACTTCCATTAGGCAATCATTATTCAAGGCACAACTTGACAAGATGATCTCTCATGAATCCAACACAGAGCAGTTTAACCAACAAGAATGCTACACTGCTGGTCTCAGGTGACTCAGTTGCATTTCACTCCAACACAGGCTGGTTCAAGACACAGGTTAAAAAGAATATCTTTCTTTTTTGCCATTTTGACACAAAAAAAAGCAAAACTAGGAGTCTGGAAAAAATACATTTTAAACTACATGCCTATTCTTTACTGACTTAAGCTCATTGTAAAATGTAGCACAAAGGTTGATGTGAAGCTTATACTGAGATACAGATTCAGATAACAGATGTTTTGTCATTACTGATCAGTGACAAAGACAGTCTCCAAGCAAATCAACAAGTGAATGTGTAAAACAAGATTAAAATCAATGATTTAAAACAAGACTTGCTGATTTAAGCCATGCCTGAAGTCTGGCAATGTAAATACATCCACCCTGGCCACACAGGCCCTCAGTTCTTCCCGTTAGCCCACAGCAGGTTTCCTTCTTGGGTGAAAAAACAAGGAACACTGCGGGGCAGCACAAGGGACACTGGCCGCCTCTCCACATTGTACCTGTATTAGGAAAAGAGGACTTCAATCTCCAAGGCTGCCATTCCAACACCTACACTAGCACTAAATTCACACGAAACCTAAGGACTCAAGAGACAGAACATGGAAACTTTTATTCTAAGGTATCTTGCTTCATTCAGCTCTGCTCAGGACAAGCTGAATCTAAATAGACAGCATTTTCACAGTTTGTTGAGAGATATTTTTCAAGCACTTAAAAGGAGCTAATTCATTACCTCTCAAAAATAAAGGCATTCAGAGAATGAAGTGGCCTAAGCAAAAATTCTCGACTGGGATATCCTCCAGTCTGGAGGAATGCACATCTGGATGGAAGCTTTGAGCCTGTCTCATTTCTAAAAATACACTGTTCATTGGTCATTAGTGGGATGTTTATACTTTACATAAAACCTATAAGCCATTTTGTGGTTTGTCATATGTACTTCTCCCTGCTGAAGCCTCTACAGATCCCTCCAATAAAACATAAGTTAACCTCCAAATTCAGAGCACCACTGCAGAAGCCATCAGCATCACGTGCACAGAGCCGCTGATCAGCCAAAAGCCTCTACCAGAGGAAGCCAAGAGCTTCTGCAGCCCGAGTCTTCCTTTACCCATAGACCAAGAATTCTTTGTCCCATGGCCATGGGAAGCCTGCTGTAACGTACCAGCAGCTCATGTGTACCCAGCTCACACCAGGGAAAGCATGTTTCAGCCACCTTATTTCTTAATACAGAGAGGAAATTTTGCATAGTGTTATGGGATACAGCATTGATTGGAATGGTTTAAACATGCTGATTTAGATAAAAAGGTTTGAAAGCTGTAGGGATGCACTACCAGGATGTAGTGCATCCATCCATGGATGACAGTTTGACCATTCCTTCTACAGCTAGTCAAAGACTAATACATGTGTTTGGCAGGAAACACAGTTTCAGGCAATAAATCCTCCTGATAACCATTTCCCAGCAGCCTGTGTTGAGGTGGTCATTTATCCCAAAATAGGCTTTGGGTGGGCCTCAATTCCACAGATTTACGATGTAAATGTCAGATTGAGCCTTACTTTGGTGGCCCAGATGCTCCCATCACAGGGATCATAGAAATCCAGTGAGTCAGGTGATCTGGGTTAAAAGCAGGTAGTGTTTGAAGGGAAGGGTGGTTGTTTTTATTTTAATTTCATAGAAAATCTTGCTGACAAAGCACACAGTTGTGAGTTCCTCTCCTTTAATGCACACAAAACGGTTCCTCCACACCAAAAAACAAACCAAGAAAGGAACAAAAGAGAGGATATTAGGGGGAGGGAAGTGAAAATAATATTCAAAGCTATGAGAATATATAAAGCGAAACAGAAAAAGATTTCCCTCTCCACCATCCATGGCAGCACTGCCCTCAGGGGTAATAAGAGGTGTCTTACAGGTTCATCACACAAGAGTCTGTGCCCCTCCACATGCCCACACACCCAGGACTTACACTGCCATGCCACCAACAAACTCCTCTGTAGCCTGGCAGTAGATTGTGATGGCAACACGAGCATCTGCGTCAAATGTGAACTCCAGGCTGTACAGGACTTTCTGCTTCCCATTCTCCTCAGTAGGACTGTCAACATCATCTTTATACCTGAAAGACAAAGCCAGAGGATTAAAACACATTCTTACGAGATGTGATCAAGATCACTCTGGGAATCAGGACAAGAGTACTCCAGCAGAGGTGTTCTGGGCACAAAAGGCACCACTGGGGCTTCCCAGAAGACTTCCATTCTTTCCTCCAAGAAAGGTTCTTCCAAGATTTGATTGAAGTTATTCAAGTGAATTATGTAGTGATGCTGTTGAAGAACCTCACTGAGCCTTACAATGCTGGGACACAGAATGAGACAAGAAAGTGAACTCTTGAATGTCAAACCCTAAGATAAGAATGTCAAATCCTAAGATAAGAAACATTCTCCCTCCTTTTAAAACTTCACATTAGACTCAATGTTTAGGCTAAAGAAATCCTGCATGGGCCTGAGAAGTCTAAAGCCCAATTCTTTTAACCCTGCAAATTAAATGGCATGACAGGCAAAATAACAGGGTTTCTGTAACACAAAACTCCTGACCAACAAAAGATCACACTGATCTGTGTGATCAGTATCAGACAGAAGACTGATACTCCGATCAGAAAGCATCCAAATACAGGAACTTCAAATACCTTTAAAAGTATATACCATCAGCCAAACCTTTGATGCTGCTAATGACTGAAGCTTGCACACAGTTACAGTATAAACAAAAATTAACACATTCAACTGTGTAACAGATGCATGATAACCAATAGAGGATGAGTTCAGAAGTTATTTCAATCTCTATAAAGGTGAGTTATAACCTGGCTATGGGCCACTCAATAACTGTCTGATCACCACTGCCCAGGATTACTCCTCCTCACTGCTGCTAGAAAAAGGCAGATTACAAATCTGGTGAAGAAGGTGGTATGAAGAAAGGTCCAGGGCAGCAAGCTAAGGCCATGGGTGAGCAGTGAGTTATGGCATGCTAGGAGGGGCCAGAGAAACCAGCAATCTGGAACAAGCAGCCAACACAACACACCACGAGAAGACCTCTCCTGCCCTGAAGAGCAAAGTGACAGAATGGACATGATTCACTGGCAGGGCAGAAGCAGATTCTCCTACATAAATTCCAATCCCACCATAACCCTACAACTGTAGGTACCACTATTAAACCCCACACTGTGCAGAAAAGGTGAATGCAACAGGTTGCCTTTGAGAGGTGTACAACACTACTTGATGTACACTCAGCTCCAGCCTCACTTGTCTGCTGGTACTACCTTAATTGCCACAATGTCTGGGTCAAAGCCAAGCAGCTAAACTATTCAGGAAAAGCTTGGCACTGTCTCTGACTTCGCAGTATCAGTCAGCCTCTCCCTTCATTAAGCAGCTCTATGAATATGCTGCACTGTTGAAAACACTCAGAAATGGGCTAGGCATACCACATAATTCCATCTGAAAATTGTCAAGGGAATCCTTATTTACCGAGTTCACTGAGATGTAATAACTGCTGCCTAATTAAGAGAGTTCCAGCATGAATTTTATTTAACACCACACTGAACAAGAATGAAATGTTCAACTTCAGCCATTTAATACAGAAGGTGCAAAATAAAATTTGAGAGCAGTACAATCAAACACCTAACACACATACTAATGTAACCCTAGTGAGCCACTAGAGCATACACTTGCATTCCTGCCTCAAAGAGTGGGAGAGCTCCAAACAAGACTTATGCCAGAGGTTCACCAACGTCAGAACAGTAAATCAAACTAGAATACACCCAACATGCAAGTATAAAAACCACAAATCCCAAGAACTGAGGGTCTGAACACTTGCAGCAGCAAATACTGGATACAATATACAGTACAGAGCAAGATGGTATTTTCACACTAGCTAGTTGCATTAAAAGGATAAAATCATGGCACTCAAAGGCTGTAAACAAGAAATACTCTACCCAGCAGGGCAGGTTTGCCTAGAAAACACAAGGGCATCATCAACTTTTTGTGCTGAACTGACCCAAGAACAACAGATGGCAACAATCAGCTCACAAGAGAGCAGCAGTGCAAAATCCTGCAAATTCTCTCACGCTGCATTGTCCTCCATTGATCTGAGGCTGGCAGCAGTGGATCCACACTATGATACCTTTGCCACTTCTTCCAGAGGAAGTAGGGTGGGGGAAAACCAGCACCCCTTGAAGGCAAGCACCAATGGAGGCTACTTCATAGACATAGACTCACTGTATATATGGTAGGTATTAAAATAGAGATGGCTAACACATGCGTGAGTTACAAATGAACACCACAGATGTAGATACCTGTAACAGCCCCAAGTAACAAGGTGAGAAACCTGGGGGTGGGAACAGACCACACAACAACGTTTCTTTAGTAAAACCATTGCCTCTTTTGTCTTCTAAGAGAAGCCATGTCACCACCCTGCTCCCAGTGTCACCTCTTCACCTCCCTGCCAGCACTTGGAATGTGCTTCCGTCCTTTCAAGAACCAAAGGGGATTAAACCTTTCTAAACCTAGGCTTCATTAGATCTGTTGCCCTGGGAAACCATGCAGGGGCCACGACCAACTCCCAGATGCAGTTCCTGGAGAGGTTTCTGGAGGATGCATCTGCTGGGAGGTAGGAAGCCTTGCCTGCCTTGAACACCGTCACTCAAGCAGGGGGTAAAGTATACATGCCTAAATGGTGACAGTCACAGCAAGGCTGTGTACACATCTTCCAGTTGCAATGTGTCTGGTGCTGGAGGTTAAGAAAATTGTCTGCTATACAGCAAGGAGCTCAGGTGAGAAAAGACTGCATAAGCAGCTATACCAAGTGGTAGCTGGACCAAGGAACAAGCAAGGACTACCAGTGCATACTCTGAGAAGCAGAGGTATCATGTTCCACCTTAAGGTGCAGGAACAGTGGGATGTATCTTCAGGGGACTAACAAGAGGAAGTCACACATTTTTCATTCCTTCTTTCTTTGCAAGGGATAAGGCAGACAAGGAGGTGGTGGTTCAGGAGTGGTTTGGGAGTTCAAGAGCTCTTCTGTCTCCTCCTGCACTTGAAGTTTACAGTTCATTCAGTCAAACCTTACAAACAGTGTTGGTGTGAGGTGGCCACAGATGCATGCACAAGTTTAGAAACCAGTGACTTTGCTAAGTGTGCCTTTCAGTCATGCACAGGAGAGCAAAGCCTCCACAACCATGTGTATAGAGCAGAAGAGACTGACCACCTTTGAGAACAAACAGCTGATCCAACGTTATGATGAAAAAGGCAAAGCAGGATGACCAAGGGAGCTGAGGCCACCTGGTCTGACACCACCTCTTTTTGTTTGTCTGTTGAAGAATTAAAAGATAAAAATATAATTAACAGCAACCATGACAATTTTATAGAACTAGGTGGAGTCAAACTTGATTTCATCCTTTGAGGAGAGTTTGACCAAAAACTTCGTAGACCTGCAGGATAAATGTGAAGTATTCCTTGACTTAGGATTGGAAGATACGCATTACAACAGTTTTAGCAGGCATTTGACATCTCTGTCAGTGTTGACCTTCATGGAGGGAGATCACCATCAAATGGAAGCTTTCCTGTTTAAGCATCCTGCAGAGATCTGTACAGTTTAACACAGTCCAGGGCTGCAGACCAGGCAGTCCCAGCACCCTCCCCAACATCACCTCCACTGCAGGATGAACAGCTCCAAGGATCATCAGCTCCACTGTGCTGGAGAGGGAAAAGGAGGGATTTCCCTTCTTTCACTCACAGTAACTCACCCATCTCCTTCAGTCCCTGTTATCCACCTCCCTCTCAGGCCCTTATCCAAAGTGCTCAGTGGTCTCACCACTCTCCATGGTATTGCTGCTGCTTCAGACACATTCCCAAGCCACTACAGTTGCTGATTCCTTCAGCACTTTAGTGCTGTGATGCCATCCAAAGCCCAAAGCCCACACTGAAGCACAGAGGCTGTCCCAGGATGTAATTTTTCCATGAAACACATTGCTTTATGGGTTGATTTTCCTCCAGTGACTGGAAGTGCTTTCAGGGTAAGAGTAAACAGCCAGCTTAAGCTTATCAGGTGCTTCAGCTCTGAAATAAAGCTTCCAATCCAGTGCCAGAAGAGGGACCTGAGACAGACATGAGGCACTCTTCTGTTAGTGGTTAACAGCAAAACTCATGCTGCCCTCCTCTGAGGTTCACAGAGTCTCATCCTGCTAGAGCTCAAGTACTCACACAAAGTGTTGAAGACTGAGGTCCACAGGTTGGTTGCTTCTCTCCAAAGCTGCTGTAAACTTTCATAGCTGGGCAAAGCTCAGAATTTGTCTGATGAGACCCGGACGCCCAGAGCAGACATTTCCTCATATTTCTCCATAAAGTCCTGCACCCCAAATTACAGATCAACACCCTCTTCACAGGTGAACAATGACTTTTCAATTAAATACAAGGTTGGTACTGGGACCAGTGCTGTGTAACATCTTTATCAGTGACACGGACAATGAGAATGAATGCACCCCCAGCAAGTTTTTACAAGGGCATGCAGGGATAGAACAAGCGGGGATGGCTTTCAACTGAAAGACGTAGATTAGGCATTGAGAAGAATTTTTTCAGTGCTGAGGCCCTGGCACAGGTTGAAGCTGAGACTGTCTCATCCCTGGCAGTGTTCAAGGCCGGGTTGGATGGGGCTTGGAGAAACCTGGTCTAGTGGAAGCTGTCCCTGCCTGTTGCAGAGGGGTTGGAACTGGATGATCATTAAGGTCCCTCTGGACTCAAACCATCCTATGACTCTATGAAAAACAAAAACTTTGTGAGCACTTTACCATCACACCCTACTTTACACTTCGACACTCAACCCAGTATCATTCTATTTGGTGGAGGAGGTGATAAATTAAACTTAACTAGTTCTGGAAAGAATGTGCAAACCTCAACTATTTATTTTAAATAAGCCAAACTGGAGAGGGCACAAAGAGTCTTTATGTACACAGAAGAATAAAAGAAAAGTTTCTAGTACAGAACAGCAGAAAAGGCACGAGACACAATGTACCCTTGGGGACTGGCAATTAAAATCTCATTCTGGGTCTACAACAGTACAAAATTAAATAGAGTAATGCTGATGGTGGTGTTAACAACAGTAATATGGCGGCAGCAGCTCAAGAGCCTATTGGAGCTCACAAGGCAGCAAAAGAACTGATAGTACCAGGAATTAGACAGATGTAAACCAGGACACTGTTAGGGGGCACGAACACTACATTTCATATAGTCCAGAGCTTCAACTCCACCTGGGAGGACAACCACAGAAAGCAGAATGAAAGAACTGTATGTACTAAACCCTATCAACTCCTCCATTCACAGAAAGGCCTCTCCCACTGAAAAAGCCACTTCCCATTTGGCTTCTGAGATGTTACACCATTTACGTGGATGCCTGTAAGGAGAACAAAATACCCTTTCCACAGCAAGTGTGGAAGGAAAGCAAGGCGATTTCCTAGAGAAGTACTTTACCCGTTAGCTGAAAGGGTGAGACAGCATTCGGAGTGGTTTACCAATGGTTACTTTTTCACTTCTTCCCTCTTTTCCTGTTCAATCAGTTTTGAAACCACAGGTATTGCTCATTTAAAAAAACCAAAACAAACCCTTCATTTTTCACACAAAACCAAATTGAGGGGTTTGTGTGGTTATGACTCAAACTATTCACGTTACACCATGCTCCCAGAACCACCTTGGCTGAGAGCGGAAGCTGGCCCTGTGCCTGACATGCAGAACTCTAAGCAATTCAAGGATCTTTGAGAAATGCTCTGCCTGGACATCTGCCCAGTAGCTCAGACCAAAACAAAGCACTGTATGCTCAGCCTCTGTACTTCAGCCATCGGTTTGAAAGAGGGCAGCCACAGGTCGAAGTGTTTGCCATTACATCCAGCTAGTGCTGGTTTAGATCTGAGTGTAGCACAGTAAAACACATCTCCATGACTATCCAGTCCTCCTTCCCCTATGCATGGGCCACCAGCCATCTAAACAAATCCATAACACTAGGACCAAACTTTATCTTGGCACCAGGAGAAACCTGAGGAAATTTCACTCAAGACCAATAAGTCTTCCTGGCCTGTGACTTGCACCAGAATCAGCCACTTTCTGGCTTCTCCTTGCATAAGAACGCAGAAAGGAATCTCTCTGTAGGGTTTACTGACCTGACTAATATCTTCCATTCATACTAATGATTTTATGGTTTTGTTTACGACTCTAGTCTGTCCTGCAGAGACAGATACATCACTGTGTCTGGAAACACAGATGGCTCAAGTCTAGGAATAACGAAAATGAAAAACACCTGAAAGCTCTGAGCACAAGGAAACAGAAACCTCTAGACATATCTAGCAACAGAGATCTGAAATTCAGCTGTTTCTCCAAAACCTTATCAAATACAGTTTGGCTCTGGACAACAGATCGCTGGGTTGAATAAAATGAAAGGTTCAGGCAATAGCAATACCTCACAAGTCGGAGAGAGTCTTTGCGGATATTCACCAAACTTCTCAGCGTCTTCACGGGTTCATGTGGAGCTGGAGTGACATAGGGAAACTGGAATAAAAAGGCAAATCTCCTATTATTATACCATAAAGGGTAGTAGCATGTTACCTGGCATACAGTTTACCCAAACCAAGAAACATCTACCTTTAAGGGTACTCAGCACAACAACCACAAGGAACAGTAACAGCAAATTCCACTTGCAGATCAATCAAATATGTTTCAGGATGAGAATCCTGCTCTGGGCCAGCAATAGCTTGTATTGGCAGTAAATACTTTAAGAAAGCTCTTTTCCTGCACCCTGAATTCTGGAAGGCCTTGCTGTCACAAGCTTTTATTTCCACTTAAGAAACCACCTCCAGCTTGAGCGGAAGAAATGCAGCTCTTCCATGTGTGTTACAGCATGCAAAGGGTGACTTGACTGTTAATCAGCATGCTGAAGCCCTGGATTACTGGGGGAAACTCTTTTTATTCTTAAACAATGGGGCAAATGTTCTGGAAAAGAAAAGAAACGGGGATAGGGGGCCTCATCCTGTCCTACTGTCAAGAGACCTTCTTTCATAGGTTAAATAAAGGACAATAATGCTTTAGACTGTAATTCTCCTTACTGGTTACAGACTCTCTAGCAAGAAATGCAAAGGAAACCACTTATTGTGGTGACCACAACCTGTAAGGCTGCAGACCTGCCTGCTGTATCTCCCATCTGCTTCATGAAAATTGAAGCTGAAACATCCATTCACACAACTGCCAAGTTTGATAGGTGCTCGGACTGGAGACACAGCCATACTCCAAGTCAAAGCAATGGCATGACACAAAGGTACATAGCTACATGACAGGCTTCCAGGCAGAAGGTAATTCTGAATGTATCCAGCAACAGTGCCACCACACAAACTCATTGAAGTTGAGGTTCTTCAGACACACACCTACCAGGTCCCCTGCAGTAGGATAGAGGTAGTGACTGGTATGGAGCAGAAGTACCAGGGATCACCAATGTACACGATCCCTTAGAAATGAGGAGTCTGCTAAACAGGCAACCAAATGCTACTGCAGCTGAGCTTCAGGGCAGTTCCAGGACACAACCTTTCAGCATTGTCCTCAGACCACAGAAATGCATTGATGGGGCAACAGTCAGAGAGGGGAAACATGCTGCCTCCTGATCAACACAGAAGACCCACGCCGCAGCCACAGGCAGCAGAGAATTCACAGGGCAGCAACAACTACTTTCCTTGCACCCTGACTGCTGGGTACTGTGGTTGGTAGCACTGCTCTATACAGAGCAGTCAGGACCAAAGCTACTGCAAAGTGAGAACTTGGTCCGTGTCCAGAAAGCAGTTCTGCTGCTCTGCGTTCAAGTGTTTTTTTAACTTGAAGATTAATCAGAGCTGCCAAAGGGCATCAACTTTACATAGGCAAACTATATACCACAACAGCCTCCCTCTCTTAAACCTATTTGGCAAATGTCCCACTGTGTTAATAGCATTTTCACCCACTTCCCTCTGAAGAAATGATGAAATTCAGTGCTGGGATGTCTGCAAGGCAACCCAAGCTGAGACATGCAGGCAATAACTCTCCAAGGCTAGGCCCTACAGCCATAGGCACATGGGATATTTTGCTTACAGTTGCATCTTCTGCTTTTATTGGAGCACTGTGCAGCTGCTAGTCACAGAGCAAAAGATAAGCAGTCAGCTTTTAACCACTGTCCTGCACAGGTCCTGTATGCAGACATGGCACAGCACATGCACTGAGCATCCCCATGCCTGCACAGCACTGTTACATCCAGAACAATTTCCATCTAAAGTCCTTCCTTCCTAATTCTGTTGCTCATCTGCACTTCCAGTTTGAACACGGGCTTTCCAGCTTCTCCCTTGTCCTACCCTGCAGAGTGCTGTGAACTAACTGTGGTGCTGAGAAGACCAATGGCAAAGCCTGAGGACAACTCAGCAGAAATTGCTTGTCACCAATCCAATTCAGTGAGTCATCTTGCCTCAGTTTCCCCATCTGTAAACCAGGCATGACACTGAACTGCCCACAAGCCTTACCAGCATGAATAAACTTCCAGCCACAGCTTTTCTCAGGATGAGAACCATGGCAACAATGTTTTCTTTTTCACATTTTGAAGCTGCAGAAACAACTAGGAAAATAGCTGGCAAAGCAAGCAGCTCTTAACCCTTTCCTCTCCAGCACTCTGAAAATAGCTCCAAATGGCTCCTGCTGTTACCTTTTGGTTCTTTTTAAGCAGTTCTGAGATGCAAGAGAAAACCAAAACATAACACTTGCATAAAAGTCCAATCTCTCCCCCACAACAGTGCTATTCCATGTTCATAACAGAAGAACAAGTCAGTCACTCAAGCAGGTAGCTTTTCAGTCTCACAAGACCCCTGTGAGCCCAGTATAATAGCTCCATGTTGCAACTGGCAAAACTAAAGAAAGACTTTCTGAGCAGCCCACCTAGGTTACAAAGCAAGCAAACCCCAACAAATATCAAGATCTGCCTTAACATCACCCAGGCAATCATAATTAGTCCCTAAAATCTGTGCTCCTGCATTCCTGTCCTCCTACCTCCACTAATTCTTCCTTCTGCCTTAAGTGAAAATAAGCCTAGAAGGTAAATATTGCTTCTTAGGAAAACTGCATGCATTTGAACAGCTATGGCAGCTGGTAAGCTGGGCCATGGGATAGGGGAACACTCTTGCACCTCTGACTGGAATTAAACTCCCCAAGTAGTGAGGGTTTCTTAGGTCTGTGCTATCCTCCTCTACAAGCCCCAACAAAGATTTCCCAAAACAGGCAGAAAACAAGAGGGTAAAATAGACAGCATATAGGAACTTGCCTGAACAGGTCTGTTCCCGAGGAAGTTTAGATCCATGTTCTCGCCAAAAAGGTAGCCCTCAGGATGAGGGGTGTCAAACTTCTCGCCTCCCATAAAGAAGTGACTTGCAAAGTAGTTTCCTAGAAAAAGAAAACCACAAGGGAATAAAAACCCATCTAAATTAATGCTTCCCAGAGAACAGCTGGTCTGTGCAGTTTTTCATTCACAAGTACGGAAGAGCATAAAACATGGAAAATACTTGCTGGTTCACTCCTTCCCTATGTTACTAATGGACACTGCCAACAGTACGAGCAAGGAAAGAAACCCAGTAAACTAGAATAGATTATTACAGTGGAGAAAATTCCATTTTAACTTGTTTTCCAGAAAAGGGACAGGGAGCAGTAAGAGTCAGCTCCTTCCAATATTGCTCCATTCTGACGACTTCTTTTTTTCTCCACCATCCAGTCCCACAAACACAATTGACCTGCTCAGAGAAGAATGAGATTCCTTCCCACTGCAAAACCCGGCAGAGTCAGAGGGGCTCCTGTTGGGCAAAGTTTGCCTTCCCTCCCCTCTTTCATTCCCATATTCCAGGGACAGACACAAAACCTTTGCTGCGAGTGTTAAAGACTGCACACCTTGATGCTGAATCAATAACATTGACAGTTCTAAATGCAGAAACAGGGGTGTTTGGAGGAGATAAACTCTGGGACTGACTAAACTGAACTTCAGCTCTGAAAGCTTCACAGTGTATTTGTTTCATTCGTCTTTAAGGCGACACACTACAGCACAGATTTCAGGAGATGAAGTCTGCGCAAGGTCACTGGGATACTGGAGCACCGGATTAACTGCAAAGTCAACCAAATCAATTCAGCTACATGAGGGCACCACAAACGTGGCTTCCTCCTACAGTGACTTCAGAAAAACACCCTCGAACATGAACTTCACAGAGTTACAACCTCAGATAAGTAAGAACCAGGAGAGAACTGAAAGAGGAGGCTCCACCCCAGCTATTTCCCTGGAAGTTTTCAAGCGGGGGTTTCTCATGCGCATGATGAAAGGACTGAGCCAAATGTACATTCCCTTCCCTATGTGCAGTGCACAGACAGCGCAAGATTCGTTTTAAGACAAGTCATTACAGAAGGAGTAACTAATAATCTGAATAGTTATGGAAGCATTATGAAAGGATTGGAGGCCTGTATCTAGTGGAGTGCCTCAAGGGTCGGTACTGGGACCAGTATTATTTAATATATTCATCAGTGATTTAGATGAGGGAATTGAGTGTACTATCAGCAAGTTTGCTGATGACACTAAGCTGGGAGGAGTGGCCGACACGCCAGAAGGCTGTGCTGCCATCCAGAGAGACCTGGACAGGCTGGAGAGTTGGGCAGGGAATAACTTGATGAAATATAACAAGGGAAAGTGTAGAGTCCTGCATCTGGGCAGGAACAACCCCAGGTTCCAGTATAGGTTGGGGAACGACCTGTTAGAGAGCAGTGTAGGGGAGAGGTACCTGGGGGTCCTGGTGGACGACAGGGTGACCATGAGCCGACACTGTGCCCTTGTGGCCAAGAAGGCCAATGGCATCCTGGGGTGTATTAGAAGGGGGGTGGTTAGTAGGTCGAGAGAGGTTCTCCTTCCCCTCTACTCTGCCCTGGTGAGACCGCATCTGGAATATTGTGTCCAGTTCTGGGCCCCTCAGTTCAAGAAGGACAGGGACCTGCTGGAGAGAGTCCAGCGCAGGGCAACTAAGATGATTAAGGGAGTGGAGCATCTCCCTTATGAGGAAAGACTGAGGGAGCTGGGTCTCTATAGTTTGGAGATTGAGGGGTGACCTTATTAGGGTATATAAATATATAAAGGGGGAGTTTCACGAGGATGGAGCCAGGCTCTTCTCAGGGGCAAACAATGATAGGACAAGGGGCAATGGGTACAAACTGGAACACAAGAGGTTCCACTTAAACTTGAAAAGAAACTTCTTCTCAGTGAGGGTGACGGAACACTGGAACAGGCTGCCCAGGGGGGCTGTGGAGTCTCCTTCTCTGGAGACATTCAAAACCCGCCTGGACACGTTCCTGTGTAAACTTACCTAGGTGTTCCTGCTCCGGCAGGGAGATTGGCCTAGATGATCTTTTGAGGTCCCTTCCAATCTCTAGCATACTGCGATACTGTGATTTGAAGTCCCCTCTAGCTAGGAGCAAGCACAATTTACTCTGAAATGGAAGGGGTTTCTTGAACAGCTGTTTCTTCCATGAAGCCTTTTTCTTTATGCTTTAAGAAAGGCTCTTGCTCTGCACAGATGGTAGTGCTGTAATGACCATGGTAGTGCTCAGCTACGGCTGAGCTCAGCTTACAAGCATCCATATATATATATTATAGAAACACATCCTCCTTTCTACATACAACCATCAACTTCAGCACAGGTCCAGAATCTACCTAGAATATGCCCTACAGAATCAGCATGACAAAATGTAGGTGTTCCAAATGACAAGCAAGCTTCCCCGAGCCCTCCCAGAAGCTACAAATTGAAAACCTAATCTCCATATCATCTCCAAGCACAGCCAGCTGGATACAGCCTCTCCACCTGAGATACACTGCGGTGGCTTATGCTTATACTGAGGTTCACAAAAGAGTGATAAACACTGGGTTCAGGAACAGATTTTTCATGGGTCAAGCAGGATTGTGTTTTGGTGCATTTTATCAGATTAACCGTGAAGACAGCACTTGTGCAGGATGCCTCAGTACTGCAGCGGCTGATTATCTGGGATCTGAGTCAGCTCCCTCATACACAGTGAATGAGACATCCTGGGGCTTGACTCACCTCAGCAAACCTGTATTACAGATTCAGAGCAGAGCTTTTTCTGTGGCAGAAGTTCTGCATCCTGTGTGCAGAGGACACAGAGCCCTAGCAGGCAAGGACTGCTCACCACCACTGACACCCCATGCCTGCAGGAAGCCAGGAGAGCATCACCCCTGCAGCACCCTGGGATGAAAAGGTCTCTCTTGTACAACTGGAACAACACTGAGACACAGAACTAGCGCATTCAAGGCACCTGCCATGCTGCCTGTGCTCCACTAAGAAGTTCTTTGAGGACCTCTAACACTGTTAGGATTTCTCAGAAATACGCACTATCCCCTGCAATACAGCAACACTTCTCTAACTAGAAACGACAGCTTCAACTTCACATTCAGACAGAAGGCTCCCTTCATCTTCCTGCTAAGTCACCTCCTGCAATGTGAAGGGGTTTTCTTCCCCAGAGGCACTTCCTTAATGAGCAAACAAGGAATGTAGTCAGTGCCAGTCACAAGGAGCACAAGGAAACCACTTTAAGGAGTTCAGAAGGAACTCACTGGTGAGGAGAACACCCCAGGGCTCTGCCGTGCTGCTGCAGACACAAAAACTGCCACTTATGCAAGGTCTCAACGGCAAAACTAACAAACCAGGATGGCACAAACTGTCTACACAAATTTGTAACACAGTTCTCAGCAGCTAAAAAGACAAAAACCAGCAGAAAAGATGTTTTACTGCAAGCTTTCAGAAACCAGTTGCTACCATACCACATTCAGTGCAGAGCTCTCAAAACCAAACTTAACACACTACTCCTCTCAACCCCTCCCACAAGCAACTCAGAGTTTGCCCAAGGTGGAGACAAAATGTTTTAAGAAAGTGCTTCTGTAAATATCACACCAAGGGCTAAAAGGACAAAGTAAAAGGACAAAGAAAATTCACAGAGGAAATCGTGATGTATCCTCTTTTCCAGTCACCGTGATGTCCACATACCTGGCACAAGACCAGCCAGATATTCAGTGCCTCTAAAAGGCTTGTATGTATTTTGTACACGTTAAAAATCCCGCTGCAGCTCCACCTCCAGGTTCTGTTTCCAGCTCCATTACCAAGACAGCTTTAGGATTTTAGCTGGACTACTATGGCTCTGGAACCCTGTCCCCACATGTCCCCCCAGCCTATAAAACAACCTTGACCTACCTTATTCAGGTGTTGCAAGGCCAGCTTTGACAGAGTTCTATGGCTGTGGGCACAAGGGGAATGCTAAGCACCATCCTCCTCCACAGGGAAAAAAAAAGGAAAGCAAAAAAATCTTTGGATTAACCCTCCCCTGAGCTGCTACAAACAGAAATCCTCCTGGAAAACACAGCAACACACTTATAAGGAAAGAAAACAAATAAGGATGAGAACATGAGAAAAATGCCAGAGTACAGAAAAACTGTGGCTTTACTTCCCCAAGGTAAATCAGCACAAAACACATGAGATAACCAGGTAAAAGAAAGCACAAAAAGACGACATTGCTAAGGCAGATGAAGCACAAGCAGTGCTTTTAACAGAAATTGGAGGAAAACTTTACAGTGGCTGGAAACACACCACTGGGACACCCAGAATGGCCAAGCCTACCTCATTAGTTTGTCCCATGCAAAACCAAACTGGAACCCAAGGCTTCTCCAAGGCATTAAATGACACCAAAATGCTTAATGTTTAGTTCAGCGTGGTGGCAGAGTTTTATTATCATAGATGCACCAGGATGAAGGTGCTCCAGGCATAATTACTTCTCTCTAACTAATGCAGCATCCTAACGCCATGACCATGCACACCCAACACACATGGAATGTACAAGTGACACGCTGGCAGGGGACACAACACCCTACAACAGCAAGGAGCAGAGTGAACAACACAACTGCAGCCCCAGCAAAACAAGGCCTGTACCGTACAGTAGTCATTAACAGAAAACAATTAAATCTCCATTCAGGCTTCTCACCATTATTAGAATTAACAGTGAAGTGATAGAAATTAAGTCTCTTTTATTAACTCAGACACTCACCACCTTGGCATGCTGACAGCAAAGCTCTAGGCACAGCCTGAGCCTGAACCAGCACCGCATCTGGATGAGGCCATCCCTGTTGGGCCACCAAAAGCTATCATGTATCAAACATGAATGTGGCTCTGAGCTGGGTTAAATATAATCCAGCAACAAACCAGTAGCAAAAGGAACTGGTTTTGACCCACAGGCGCTCTAGTCTGGTGCTGTGCAAACCTGCAGAGAAGATGGGAATCAAATGATCCAGTCAATGCATCAGTGGTGATGGTGGCTGTCACCAGCAGGGTCGGGCTAAAGCTCCTACAGAACTACAGCAGGAGTAAGAGACAATTGCCCTGCTGTGCTGTGCAGAGCGGGTGAGGCGCAAAAGCTATGTGTGAAATACAGGAATGTGTTTCTGTCTTGACACTGTCACAGTACACATGGCTTATGAGCGGAGAAGGTGGTGATGGACTGGGTACAGCTCTGGGTACTCTTCTCCTATTTAAAATGCTCTTTCTTTAATTAAAGCATCATTCCCAAACAACAAAGCAGTTCAGCTTCCAAGAGGAGAAATCTGCCTTCTTGCTTTTTCCCCCTTCCAAAAACATCCAAGGAATTCTCTTCCAAGAGCCTACTCCAGAGGAGAAAAGCCATCTCAAGGGCATGTGCTCCCTGCCCCGTTCCCCTCTGCAGATGAGCTCACTAGAACAAGAGATGAGCTGACAAAGGAGCTTCAGAGAACACTGGTGCGTTGCTCACTGGTTGCTAAAGCAATAGGGGCATCATGAGCCTGCATGCAGGAACGTGGACTGGTTTCCTGCTTCAAGCACAGGAGCACAGAGAAGATCACGACTGTTCCTTGCAATTACCGATTTTTAAGCCCATTTCATGGGGACGCTATTTCTTCTTGTATAAACTGGGCCTTTCTCCAACCCCCTTCAACTGCTTAGGCATCCGCAATGCCAGCAGGTTTCCATAAAGCAAGCAAAAAGGTTAAAACGTATCAGTGAAGACCGGAATCAGGTGTCAGCATTTCAGCAGCTTCAGGCCCCCAGATGCAGGAGGGGAAACACAGATGATCCACACCCAAAGCCTTGGAGGAATAAGCAGGGCATTTTTAGAGGATTTTTAACTACAAAACCTCGTATCAGCTGCAACAAACCTGTTAAACAATCTGTGTATGCCTCACCAGGGACTCTGGCTCATAAGGACCAAGGTGGATTCCACAACAACCTGCTCAAACCTCTCCAGAGCACGACTGAGGCAGCAATAACCACATCGAAAGTCAGCAAGCAAGCACTGAAAATTCAGCACTGCATTTGCAACCAGCTGTGACTCCACAGCTGCCATCACCTGGCATGACCTGATCGAGTATCCGTGTTCCTTTTCACAGGCTGACATACTGCTTACAATACAGTCAGAACATCTGTAGTTTGTGTTTTATTTCCTTGCACAACAGGTCCTCTTGTGAGGTGGTGTATTCGCTCCAGAAAGCAAATCCACCTCCTTCAAACCAATGCCCACCATGGATGGCCCAGACACCTGCAGTAAGTCAGGATCTGCTTCAATCAAGAGACCCGGAGGGAAAGAAGGTAAAAGCGACCGACAGCCCTGGGTGCTGTACAAGATGGATAACCTCAGGTAACACTCTCTTACCACATCTTCCAGCCTTTAAGGGTAATGTCTGAGCAGCCAGGAGACTGCCTGCTAATGCTCCAGTGCACGCATTCGAACAGCTAACATGGCTGATGGAAAAGGGGCTTTTTCCAGACAAGCAGGCTCAGGGCTCACAGCATCAAGTTAGAAATAATTAGCAACTGTTTAGGCTAAGAACTTTTTGTAGACTTCCACCTTGCTTCCTAAACCCAAAGAAAACCTTGCACGCTCACTTCCAGTCATCTTCACTGGCAGGTTTTGTACCACCAACAGCAAATCTTTCCAGCCCCAAGCCAAGCACACTTAAGATTGCAGGACCAGAAGAGACAGTGTCCTGCTGAACACGCTGCATCCTAAGATCCCTTACTTTTCCTGTGTATAGTTACCTTCCTTGAATGTCCACCTTAGAACTGTCCATGACCTCTCCTCCTACCTAGAATGATCCTGAGTTTGAACAGCTTTTCTCCCTTCCTGAAGTCTAGAGAATCCTTGTTAAACAAACGTAAAGGAAGGTGAAGAGAAAGGTCTAGCCTAAAGCCAGTACTTTCAGAAACAGCACAAGCAAGTGCAACAAAAACAAAACAAAACAACAAGCATCTAATTGTATCCAAAGCCTTTAAGGAAATACCAATGTTTTTCTTTAATCAACTGTCTGAGAGTATTATCTATTTAGTTTTACAAGGGGGGACACTGTTTACTCATGGAACACTCTCTCACAGCATCTATGTCAAAGACCCCTCCCAGGGCGCACGTGAACATAGAAACCCAACCTTGCGTGTGTGATGCAACTACCTTGGCAAGCACATTGGCTAAAACCCCGTTAAATCCTAGTCCAGGACATCATGACAGTCAGAAACAAGAGGGTGAGGATTTGAAAGAAGCGGCTTAATATTCATTGCATACGGTAGTTATAAATTAATCCAGTCCATATCTAAAATTCTAAGTGTCAACAGAAACCAAGGGCAATCTCTATGCTGTAAGAGAGCTGCCAGCAAGGTCCTTGGTACCACAGCTACAGCTGAGCAGCCAGCTCACATCCACCCTGTCTCCCACACCAGGAAAGCCCCCCAACCATGCACAGGACATGCACAGTCCTGCTGTGACCCAGCAGTGTCATCTGCCTCTCCTAGCAGCTCAATGAACAGTTCCCACCCCTTAAATAAGCAAGTTCCATTTTCTAATACAGCCAACACAGCTGAAGAATTTTTCTGGGTAGGTTTCCCACTTCCATCTCCTCCACACTACCATCCTCGCTGAAGGTCAACCTTCAACAAGACAAGGTGTAATGATGGCAGGCCTCTATCTGAGAAGATCTTGCACCCCCTGCAAACAAACTGGGGGGACCTGGCTTCCTCCATCACACAACCCCGAGGATGTCACAGCCAAAAAGTCTCTGCACACACACAGAACTTAAGTCTAAACAAAAAGGCTATACCACAGCTGTACTTCAGAATGAGGGAACCTAAACTGCTGCTCTTCAGAGTCTTTAGCCTGCCTGGAAAAACCCTAGCAGAACAGAAACCTAGAGGCATCTGTAAGCAAATGGATACTGTAGGAGAAAAGAGCACCCGAATTCCCTCATGACTTGTTCTGTAAGAAGTATAAACAAAACTCTTTAAACACATTGAGCCAGGCCACCTCAAATGCCAGTGTAAGACAAGGTGAGTTATGGGATCACCCCAACTTCACTGAAGAGGCACTGCTGACACCTCCAGCAGCTTCCACAACATCTCTTTGGGAAACAAACACCCGCATAGGCCATGGCCCCCATAGGCAGTGGCCCCAACGTGAGAACCGCTGCCATGTCAAGGGATTAAAGGCTGTCATATGGGCAGTTTTCCACCCTTGATTCCACCACATCCGATTTTCCTCCCGCATCCAAACCAAACTCCCCTGTCGCCTCCTCTCTAGCAGCAGAAGTTGCCCCACTTGCCGCAGAGCAACGAGCTGCTGTGGTCCCAGAGCACAGAAGCGAAGCCTTGCTCACCTACCAGGACCCACCAAGACCAAAGGGCAGTGACGGAGCCGGCACTCACAGAGGGCCAGTTTGGGCTGACTACTGAAGCACTAGATTCTGGGCACACGGCGCTCCTGCATTCCTGCACCCCAGCTGGACAGGGCACCGAGACGCCCTCAAACCGCGGGTTTACCCCGAGAAGAACCATCCCCCCCCGCCAGGGAGGCCCCAAGCCGGGCCAGAGCCAGCCCCAGGCCCCGCTCGGCCCCGCCGGTGACCGGCACTCCCGCAGGCCCCCTCCTCTGGGGACCCCGTGGCACGGACGCTCCCCGCTACGCCTGTCCCCCGCTGGGGCGGCCTGGGGGGCACCAGACCCGGGGAAAGCCCTTCCCCCTTCCCCCATCCCCGTCCCTGAGGGGAGCAGCGCCGCGGCCCTCACCGGACTTGGGCGGGTATCGGTAGGCCGAGTTGGCCTGGATGTCGATGTCCTCCACGCCCGCGATGCGCCGGCTGAGCAGGGAGCCCATGGCGACCGCGGGCAGAGCGGCCGGGCCAGGGGACGCAGAGCGGCGGCAGCGCAGGGTACGCTGGGAGAGCGAGTCCTTCGCCACGACTACAACTCCCATCAGGCACCGCAGCGGCGCCTACCACCAGCGGCGAGGGGTGGTGGAGGCCTCCGGGGGGCGCAGCGTGCACGCTGCCGACAGATGGCGCTGTCATGCGGGACCCGGCTCGGAGCTGCGGGGGAGTACGGGGGATGCACAAGGACAGCGCGTGCATAAGGGTGCCCAGCGGGGGTGCCCAGGGACACCTCCTGCACAGGGATGTACGGGGACATGCCCTGCACAGGAACGCAGCTTGCAACAGGTGCAAAGGCAAAGCAAGGAAAAGGAATCACGCTGAGAGTGCCCGGGAGGGGCAGCTCAGCACCGGGAGGCTGTGTTGCACAGCGCAGGCAATGATTAACCCGCTGGTAGCTGTTTGGCAGAAGAGCTTCCCGCAGCAGCACAACCATCCACACCAGCCTCCTTTCCGCTGGCTGCTGGGGACCAGGACGTGGTGCATCCCCCAAGTCCGTGCTGGGACGGGATGTGCAGGGAACTGCAGACTGACTGCACAGGCCAACTGCAGCAGCCATGCACCTGCCGGGAGTTGGGCATCAGCAGCCGGGCTAGTTCTGGGAGCTGGTAACTGCTCCTGGCTGAGGGTCGCTGCCAGCAGGAGAGGCAGACAACAGACAGCTCCCCAGCCACAGGACCACGGGATGTTCACATGGGGAAATCTCTCCTGGTTACTCTTGTTGCAGATAATCCCTGCAGGAAAGTGAACAGATGTGTCCGTGATTTATACGTGAGAGCACAGGAGAGTGGGGAATAACTGAAGGCTGTCTCACATGCACAACAACAGTCAGGAGGATGGTGTAGAGGAAGAGGCACAGAAGGGCTCCTGACAATGTCCCAGCACTGAACTCTGTTCCCTCTGGTCCCCAAGCTCTTGTAAAGGTGCAGGAAAAGCTGCCCAGGCTCAGCCTCTTGGCAAAAGAGGCACCTCCCTGCACATGCACTGCAGACAGGCCCACGCTGCAGAGGAACATGGGAACCAATTCCCAGCAGTGGATTTGGGGATCCTTGGGAGACACAAAGGAGCTGAGGAGGCACATACAGAATCTCTTCAGTTGGCTTCAGAAGCAAGGGACCTGCAGGGAAGAGGGCTAGGGTGCAGGAAGATAGGACGCTGCGAGAGCCAACCCCATGGCATGGAAAGATTTGTGATAGCAAACAAAGGGTCAGTGTGTGGAATTTGCTGTCTGTAAACACAAACTGAAACACACCCGGCAGCAATAAGCAAACAAACCTGAAGGGAAATGTGCTTTTGGGTAGTTATTGCCCCTGCAGCTCTGCACCAACAGGGCCATAGGAGCCATGGGCCATGGGGGGAGCAGGTGCTCAGGTGAGGACTGACCTTGCTCGGCTGCATCCCGTGGTGCAGCAGGGCTGAGGACAGGGGACAGCCCAGGACCTAGAGCAGCAGCCACATCCTGCCAGCAAACCAGGAGAGTCAGGTACCTGCAGCCAGCAGAGGTGAGACCCAGGCTCTGCTGGCAGTGCCTGGGTGCTGCCCACTGTGTGCCCCAGATCCTGCTGGCACCTGCGCTGACGGTGCCTCTTGCTCAACCAGCCTCTCTGTGCAAGAGTTCCTCGTGACAGAAACTGCACAGAGAGGGAGGGATGGAGTCTGCTGACCAGCAGAGCTGACGTGTGCTGCTGTGGAGCTGCTCCTGGCCTATGCAGGCAGGTTGGGGATGCTCCAGGGTGCTGGGAACAAGCGCAAGCAGCAGCAGGACAATGTGGATGGCTTGTGTGGCATCAGCAGCCCCAACATGAGCATGGTGAACCTATGACCCCCCCCCCAGTCTCTCCCCACACACCAGCAGCTTGGTTTCAGAGCACACCAGGCACAGCAAGGCTCAGCAGCTCTGTCACCCCATGCTGTGCTGGGAACCAGTTTTGGGGAGAGCACAGCGGCAAAACAAAGCCATGTTTGCACCAGGCAGCACGGCAAGGGGGGGGGGGGGGGGAAATCACACAGGGACAGAAAATAAGGGTCCCTCTCCCTTCCCTCCTGCATCCTGAACACCAAGAGCATCCTGCTCTCCCCAGCCCAAGGAGGCAGCTGGAGGTGACCACCCCAAAGCTGTCCCCTGAGCTTTTTTGCGTCAGAAGCAGCCACTTTCCTTCCACAGCTGCTGGTGCTGCTCGCTGGGAGCGTGGCATCATAGGGGTTAAGCAGGGAAGCCAGGAGGAGAGCTGATGTCCCAGCAAGCAGCGGGGTGTTGGCACTACCACGGCTCAGGGAAGAGGCTGGAGGGTTTTGTTCGTGCAGAACCTCCACCAGCGGGAAGGTCCCTCCAGGGCCATGCAGCTCTCCGGAGCTCAGAGGAAGCAGCTGGGCCCTCGAGGGGCTTATTGTCATCTGGGAGGGCCAGAGCCTTTGCTGCAGAACATCTCCCTGTGGGCCCCACTCGGTGAGACGTATGTGACAGGCAACTACAATAGCAGCAGCGTGCCAGTGCCTGGCTCAGCCCTTCCGCTCCAAACCCCAGGACCTAGTGAGTGGTGGAGCTGAAGGGCAGCACCTCCAGAGAACAGCAGCTCCCTCACCCCTGCCCGGCCTGGGGGACGCAGCACTGGCACACACAAAGGCAGGATATTGCACCACTCGTGTCCTTTGGGTTCTTCCGCAGCAGCACGGAGCAAGCAGAGTGAGTTACTCAGGGCAGGGAGCTGGGCTGAGCTGTCCTGCCAGCCCACATGGGGAGAACCAGCAGTGCCACAGATGGGTCCCATAGGCTGGAGGAGCAGCAGCCCCCCAGCCTCAGCACTGTGATAGTGACAGCCCATAAACCCTCATGGTGGCACCAGGCATGGGTTATGCACCTACACCCTGCACCTCCAGGCTCCCTGAGACCCGATTTCCTCCCCAGCATGGTGCTGCCAGCCCTGCCTGCACCATGCTGAACATGGAAAGGGAATAAAGCATGAAGGTGGGAGGCCCTGACAACCCAGTGGGATGGAAACATGCTCTTGAGGAACAAGGGTGCCTGAGACCCTGGGTACCGTCACTGTGTGGGGTGAAAGTGGTCAAGCTGGGGAGGAGCAGAGCAAAACCAGGAAAGGGCTGCTGGCCCCAGGACTCTGCAGAGCCCCGCAGGTGGCCAGGAGGCCTCAGCTCCTGCATTTCCTCCCAGCTCAGTGCTATTTGCTTCTGGGTAAAATCCAGAGGGGAAGGTGAGGCTGGAGACATTCTCCAGTATCACCTGGAGAAAAGCAGGAGGACAGATGAGGGATTCTTCAGCTGTGAGCCCACCTCCTCTGCCAGCTCCCAAGGCTCCCTGCTGCTCCATTTGCACACCTGCCATCAAGGGACATGTCCCTATGTCCCGGACCCAGCTGGCATCCACTACATTGGCTCCTTCCTGCAAAACCTGGACAAGAAACCAGTTCTGAAGCTGATACCAGGAGCCAGGCTTCAGTTATCAGACCCTAATCCCAAGGAGCATGACTCCACAGAGCTCCAGCCTGGTGACTAGGCACAGGCTGGAGGGACACCCACCCTCCCACTGTTACACAGGTTTCTCAGCTACCACCACCTGCCCTTCAGGGGTCTCCTTGGACGTCACTGCTGGGGAGGCAGCTCCGAGCATGCCTGTGTAAACAAGGCAGCATGTTTGCTTGCAAACTTGCCACTCACTGGAGCAGCTCATCCAAAGTCCAGCTGCTCAGGGGTTTATTATCCAGTGAAGCAAGTTGCTTTGTCTCACTTGTCCCCTCCCCAGTGCTGCCACTCACTTTGTTTGTTGGATACATGGAGAACAACAAGGTTCAGGTGTCCTGGAGACTACACGCAGTTATTCCTCACCAGAAGGAGTGGCAAGCACATGAACTTTGCCTCCGTAAACACTGCCCTGCTCCAAAAGGGCTTGCACCCCAAAAGCCCTGCTGGGCCTGGGCCAGCCCTCCTCCCTTCCAACTGCATGGGTTGTAAAAATGCCTGTTATCTCCGACAGAAATAATCCTTCAGATTTGGGGATTTTCAGCTCTATTCACACCTTGCTTGCTACAGATCTCCTCTTGCAGTTGTCCTGACCTTGTAAATAGACTGGTCACCTCTTGATGTGACCCACTGTCATCACCCTGCAGCTGCACTCTCACTTTGAGTAGTGAAGGAGAAAGAAAGCCTCTTGGTCCCAGCATCCCCCAAGGCCTCGAGTACCTTCTGTGGCTCCTAAAGCAAGTGTACCAGGCAGCCAAAGTTAGACAACACCAGGGCAATCTGTGTCCCAGCAGCAGAGGTTGCAATCCCCTCAGGTCAAATGCGTGACCTGCCTGAGCTTCAGCCATTAATCCTCATGGCTCACAAACATCTGCAGCCGCATGTGAAAACACTGCCCAGGATCAGTTTGCCAGTGAACAAACTGCCCGCAGTGAGGCCAAGCCCCCACACCGGCTGCAGGAAGAGCCCAGAATCGCCCAGGAAAGGTGGAGAAGGCTGGAGGCCTTCATGAGACCCGCAGTTCCCTTCGTCTCACCCCGCTTTCCCTTGCTTTGTTACACCAGCCCCCCCACCACTCAACCACATGTCCCTGCCTGCTTATCGTTTCCTGGGAATTAGCAACACCATTCTCCTGCTCCGGGCACTGCAGCGCCTACGTGCATCTGCTGTGGCAATGCTCCGCTCTCAAAGGATCCCTTCATGCTGCCAGGAGCCCCCCAGCACCTTCCAGAACCTTTCCCCGCTGCCAGCTCTCCTCTTACACCTCGGCTGCCTGTCAGGGACGTGTTGCGGCCGCGGGAGTTACACCGAACAGCCCTTCAAAGGGGACCGCACAACCCCCGCCATTTATTACCGCTGGTGGAGAGCCCGGGGCCGAAGGGCCGCCCCACGCCCTTCACCTCAGGCCCCGGGGTTGTGAGGGGGCGGCAGCTCAGGCCTGAGGCAGCCGCGACGGGCCCGGACAGGCCTCGAAGAGTAGCGCAACGCAGGGGCGGCGGGATGCGCACATACCGGTGCCGCCCGGTTAAACGTTACCGGGGCT